CAGAGAGTCGTAGAAGCACTGAATCAGCTGGAACCAACGGGAAAGTCAGTGTTAACTACAGGAATGAATGGGCTTGAATGGACAAACTGGAGAATTCACTGATCCCACCACAGCTGTGAGACACACACTTTACACAGACCAGCCAAATTCAGACAAGGCCTGTAGGACTAAACGTCACTCCAGGGCAGAAATCCTTCCCCACAGCAAGGCTTTGTGCTCAGTGCTGTTTCTCTTCCCTTTGCTGTTGTTTTGGACACCCCTCCCCATCTTGCCAGGGCCATTTCTCCATGCAGGGTCCTTTCCATTTCAAATCATGGGCACCTCCTGGTCCATCAGCTGTTATCTGTACTCTGGTGTTGCAATCAGCCTGCACAACATGCTGTAAGTGGTATGGTCACCACTGTGATAGGTCCCATACAGACAGAAAAATGTGCTTTCTCCCCTGGATGATCAGCCCCAGTGGCTCTGCAGGGAGACAGGAGATGAGAGCAGTCTGGTTCATGATTAATTTATATCCTTAAAAGTCTGAAATGCTCCCAAAGACATTACTATTCCCCAGGTAAGAAAGCTGTCCAGATTTAAAACATACCCCTGCCTTATTCCCATATCTACTGGAATTAATAGCTGAAGGCTTATAAAGCCCAGAAGGAAAATACATGACTGCATTTAATCTAATATAGAACCTGAGATCATAGTTTGGGAGTCTAAGTGGTGTTGTCAGAAGTAGAGACAACCTGAATTCTCATTTATACTAAGATAATTTTATCATATCCTGGAAGCATAAATGCACATCAGAGTGGGTGCAATGCCAGCACTGACAGCCTCTTTACACTGAGGAAATATTGGTATGAAGAGCCCTTCAGAGAAATGGAGACAGGTGAAAATAAAAATCCCATCCCTTACATCCAAACCCAGTGACACAAACCAAGAGCTTTCTAGAGTAGATTAGACTCCAGAGGGTTCACTCTGTGTGTGTAGACTTGTGCAAATGGAAGTTGTGCATGCACTGGAAGGAGGTTGAAGAATCCACCCTAGTGTTTTAAAACTAGGCAAAAACCCATACTTGATTTTTTCACACTCTTTAGCAGTCCAGCCATTGCACCTAGAAATGACTCTTTCTCTGTTGAAAGAGTTGATATGTCTAAATTGGTGAAGAATTCTTTGGGATGCATAAACACTACCACCTTCCTATATTTAACTTTTCACTGGGGAAGGTCTGCTGCCAATTTTAACCAAAATGAGTGCCAGGGTAACAAGGACCAATGTGTGGGACATTCTCCACCCTGCCAGTCATGGGCAAGCCCAACACTGCTCCTGGTGCCCAGCTCACCCCACCACAGTGTTCTCGGTCTTCAGTATTACAGCACACTGAAATAGGAAAGTGCCTACTAGAGACTGCACAAGATACTTCATGGTCTGCTCTTTGTCTTCTAACTCTGAAGAAAATGTGCTGAATAAGCTGATGGAGCCTTCTCATATCATGGTGGATGAGAAACTCATAATGAACTGGCAGTGTGTTCTAACAGCCCAGAAAGCCAATGGAATCCTGGGCTACATCCAAAGGAGTGTGGGCAGCAGGTCAAAAGAGGTGATTCTTCCCCTCTGCTCTTATGAGACCCACCTGGAACACTGCACACAGTTCTGGTGTCCTCAACATAAGAAGGACATGAAACTGTTGGAGCAAGTCCAGAGGAGGCCACAAAGTTGCTAGGAGGACTGGAGCATCTCTCCTATGAGGACAGGCTGAGGAAGTTGGGGCTGTTCAGCCTGGAGAAGAGAAAACTGTGTGGAGACCTTAGAGCAACTTTTCACTATCTGAAGGGCCTACAAGGAGCCAGAGAGGGACTCTTTGTTAGGAACTGCAGTGAGAGGACAAGGGGTAATGGGTTCAAACTGAAGGAGGGAAAGTCTAGGTTAGATATTAGAAAAAAACTTTTTACTGTAAGGGTGGTGAGATGTCAGCAGCAGCAGGGTTGATACATACATGTGAGTTGAGGGTGTCCCTGTGGCATCGCCCTGTGGCTGGGCACTCTGAAAGGTGTATGTGGCCAGGCAGGACGTGGCTGTGCGTGGGATGGGGGAAGTTGAAGGGAATGGTAAGCAGCTGCACCCATGTGGATGGGCTGAGGGGCCTCCACACAACTCAGTAGCCGTATGCTCCACAATTCACTTTCTAACGTGAAGAATAGCTTTAATTTCTGTATCTTCTGAAGTACTGCTAGGAGTGGCTGTGGGAGCTAGCTGGCTTAAGGTGTTAAACTCACTGAGCTAGGTGTGACAGGGACACATCAGCACAGGCTGGAAACAACTGTCTGCTTTTTGTAAGGACTATGGTGCAACACATGCCATATAAATTGCATATTGAGATAAGTACGTATTTACCAAATCCACTTCCCACAGCACGAATATGTCCTTAAACATGCAAAAATGAAAACAAGAAAACCTGAACTAGTGCCATTCATAAAAAGATACATTTCTTACATAAATATCCACATGAAAATGCTAGCTGAGATACCTGTGTATTCACTGCAGGAACATGAACACCAGTCGCTCTTGTGAAATAAATTTTGTCTTCAGTTTCAGTTTAATAGCTCAAAATTGTTCTGCCAGATGTATGAATGGCTTTGGGAGGAAAGACATTGGGAAGGAAAATGAAGATGTGATCAGCCTAGGAAATGGTTCTTGGGAAACCTTCCAGCAACATGAGGAAGTGAACACAGGAGTGCATTAGCACGGCACACTGTCTGACGAATGCTTCAGTGGCTGCTTCATGGGACATAATGCTTTGTTTCACTCAGACATTTGTGGGACAAGAGAAAGCAAATGTATGTAACAGACACAGCTTTTAAAGTTTTTAGCAGAGGCTCATGAAATTGTACCAAAGGACAAATGGAGACTTGTGGATGTACTAAGAGATGTCAAGCCCTGAAATGAATTGATGGACCACAGTCATAGCTAATTGACAGTGACAAGTTTTGCTTTGCACTGTTTGTGCTGGAAATGACATCTTGAGAAATTAAACTGAGGCCAGCATGATCAGAATCACCGTTTTTCAGCTGTCTAGTAATCCCTTTCAGAAACATCACTGCAGGCTATATTATGTGTCTCTATCTCTAATTTTGAACTAGAAGCAAACAGGCAAAAGCGCTGATTAAATTGAAAGACACTGTATAGACCAAGAAGTGCAAAGAAATTGTACTAAAAGGAGTAGGCAGCTAGAAGAATGAATTTGAAATAGCAATGAGATTTCAACACAAACAAAGAAAAGCTATTGTATCAAAGATTAAATGTAGAGTTGTAGGTTGTAATGACAGAAACTCAGAAAGATGAGGACTTGGGAATAGGGTGAAAGCTAATTGTCAGTGCTATGTAAACAGAGACATCATACATGGATGTGACAGCTTACACTTCTCTTTATGTAAGTAAAGGATGTGTCTAGCATCAAATTGCAGGCACTTTGGAGTCTGAAAGAAGGGGAGCAATGTTTTTGGAAAGTGAATTGAGTGTGTGATTGGAGAAGCATTGCCTAGCAAAGGAGTCTACTTGCAATGACTACAATTATGAAGTAATGCTAGTAGGGACAGATATCCCCATCAAACAGAGAGATAGGTATTATCTCTGAGATGTACCATGGGGCCATGCCAGAGCATTGGGAATCTCTGGCAAGAACAAATGAATAAAAAATGATATTTCAGGAGAAAATCAGGCTGTAAGCATCAGGATCATAGAATCATAGTACCTTGAAGGTCATCTAGTTCCAACCTCTTTGCCATTGGCAGGGATATCTTCCACTACACCAGGCTGCTCAGGTTCCCGTACAATCTGGCCCTGAATACTGGGATGGAGCATCCACAACTTCTCTGGTCAGCCTGTTCCAGTGCCTCCCCACCCTCACAGTAAATAATTTATTCCTAGTAATTAGTCAAAATCCACCCTCATTCAGTTTGAAGCTGTTCCCCCTTGTCCTATCACTACATGCCCTTGCCAAATGTCCCACTCCAACTCTCTTGTAGCGCTCTTTAGCTACTGGAACGTCTTATAAGGTCTCTTAGGAATCTTCTCATCTCCAGGCTGAACAACTCCAACTCTCAGTCTGTCTTCATAGAAGAGGTTCTTCAGATCTCTGATCGTTATTTTGGGCCTCCTTTAGACTCATTCCAACAGGTCCATGTCCTTCTTATGTTGGGGATCCCAGAGCTGGATGCAGTACTCCAGGTGGGGTCTTGCAAGGGCAGAGTAGGGATACAGAATCACCTCTCTCGACCAGCTGGCCACACTGCTTTTAGTGCAGCCCAGGATATGGTTGGCTTTCTGGGCTGCAAATGCACATTGCTGGCTTATGTCAAGCTTCTCATCCACCAACATCCCCAAGTCCCTCTTCTCAAGGCTGCTCTGGATGTGGTCATCCCCCAGCCCGTATTTGTGCTTTGGATTGCCCCAGTCTAGGAGTAGGACCTTGCACTTGGCCTTGTTGAACTTGAGGGTCACATGGGCCTGCCTTTTAAGCCTGTCATGGTCCCACTGGATGACATCTTTCCCTTCAGCATGTTAACTGCACCACACAGCTTGGTCATGGAAGGGCTTTGTGGCTATTGCAAGGGTGGTTCACTGGGATAAGGACATTACACAGGTAGGCTAATCAATTCGAGCCACTGTTTACAGTGAAGGTTAATTGACACAGAAGGAGAGAAGAATCAAGGGAAAGAAAGATCCATTTTCCCTTTACTGGGAGTCCTGAGGTTCAAAAGAACCTGAAAAGGAGGCATTTGTTGCTGCATGAAGTCTAGACTAGAAACAATGGCTGTATGGCATAACGTGCATGTGAGGCCTGATATAAAACCACCAGAATCAGGCCAGACTTCCCACCACTTCCAAGAAACCTTGAAGTCATCAGGACTGTGCTGCCCTGATTCAGAAACTGTTCAGACCCTGAGGTCATCCTGCTTGCCCCAACATTGATCCAGAAAGCTCAAGTTTCAAGACAAACTCGTGCACCTCACCTTACCACCTTGGTGCCGTTCCTCATGACCTGCATGTCCACCATGCAGCCACCCATGACATAAGCAGCCAGGTTCAACTCGGAGAACTCCGCCTGGAGTGGAGCAAAAGGACAAAGTGTTACTCAAGGGCAGCAGAGACACAAACACATGGACACAGACGCAGAATTGTCTTCGTCTGGAATGTGCCTTTCCTTCTTTTTCTTAGTTTTTTTTCCATGAGGCAACTGTAGATCCAATTACAGCTGGTTTTCCCCGGAGAGACTGCAGAAGTATTTACAGCTCCCACACTTGGGGTGTAGAAGTACACAGGATTAGGCTTATTACAGTAATAAGCACTGAAGGAATTAAGAATGAGCAAACTGAAAAATGCATGTAGGGAAGTATAATAATAACAATAAAAAGAGTTAAGGTCATTTGAATTCAAATTCCAAGTTTCCACTTGGAAATCTCCATTTAGAATTATGTCTGAGTTGGCTGTCATGCCACTGGCCAGCTCTAAACCTAATACAAAAGATTTAAACCTTTTAGCTAAATAGCTAAAAAGTTTCATTATGTTGCAGGAAGGTGATAAGTAGACAAAGCCACCTGATGCGATTTGCTTATTAAGATTTTTAACTGTTGGAGTGTTAGCAGAGATAGGTAAGCTGTTAACAGTGCTGCTCAAACATTCAAACACTTTCTGTTTTAAAAGAGTCATGACCTACAAGGCTGGAAAGGCTGGCAAGGAATATTTCAGCTACAGGGAGCAAAAAGCACAGGGATGATTATAACTGCAGTGGATGTCAGTGAAGGTTCAGACACAAATCAGAGTGACTAGATGGGTGAGGGGTGTGATAATCCTCTTGCGTGGCTGTGTCTCTGCTGCCCCTCAGACAGGAGTGCCACAGAGACTCAATGGTCTCAGGCCACTCTCAGTAGGAGCAGCATGTCAGGATTAGCTGATCAGCATTTGCCTTGGGCTCCAAATCCTAACTCTCTTTATGGGCAAATGAGTAAACCTTGAACTAGGATATCCTATCATTGTGCCATGCAAGTCCTCCCTTTCCAGCATGATGCAAACATATCTGTACAGATTCAAAATCTTAAATTAGTGTCTGTGATATAAATAAACAGGTTTCATTTTTTTGAGGCAGAAAATGAAGTCTTCTCCCTTTGAATACTTTTTTCTCCTTTCATTTTAAGGCATTTCTTTCAGACTTAGCATGATGAAGGCTGGGCAGCAGTATAATCACCTTCTAACCAGTGGCTATCTAATACCAGAGCACTCAGATGGTTTTGCTAATACTTGGGATTTTATTGAGATACTTTTTATCTATTTTTTTATTTATGTCTTTTATTGAGATATTTATTTAATGTTATTCTGCTACTTCTGCTAGCTGGAACCAAAAGATAGTGCCAGGAACAATTTTCATACAGTAAAAAAAACCCACCAGCATTAAAAAAAGTGTGTTTTGTCCTCATGAACTCATGGAAAAAACTTGCCAATGGAGAACTCGTGCACCTGTAAAGGCTCAGAGGCCAGACAGCAAATGAAAAAATCATTTCCAACTTTCTTTTTTAAAAATCCACATCATTTTAAAGCCATGACTGTGGCCTGGTGACCCGATGATGTAATGATTTCACGTCTGCGGCCCTGTATAAACTTTTTAAAGCAACACCGTTACATGATCTTACATCATTGTAACTCCCAATTACAATGAAAAGAGAGGGAAAATTCCTGTTGCCAAGAAATAAAATCTACTTCAAACACACAGACACACTCACAGGGAGGGAATTGGCAGCAATTCAGGTGACTGCCTGTGTTTTACTTATGAGATTGCACCGTGTTGCCTTGGCCCCAGCCAGTCTTCTTCAGTGGTCATATCAGATATGTACCTCTAAAATGCATCCTCATTTCATACATTTAAAAAATCTCAATAGATGTAAGGAAAGAGGAGTCCACCTTGGACAAAGGAAGATCAGATGCTTTGGGTACTATCAGCGACCTCCCCAGTGGGGAGCTTGAGAGGATCTATGGACTGGGGAGATGAACGGATGGTTTTCCCATCTCTGTGTCCACATGTGCCTCAGAGATGTCTCACTCTGTAAGCAGAGTGCTATAGAGCTAGAACTTCAGCTTCTGTTGCTGAGGAATGCATCATCTGATGTGAACACCAGAGCTCGAAAGGGAAGTTTTAGGTCTGTGTTTTCTCGAGTTTTTTTGCTTTTTTTGGGCAATTTTTTTCCATAATGGTTTGTACTAAAGAGCTTAACATTTTGCTTTACTGGGGGTGTAAATAGGCAATCTTGATTTGATGACTGGCACTTACAAACTAAGTTGGTCTGACAGGCATTCCCCTGAAGCAGTCAGTCCAAACAAAGCTGTGTTCAGACACCTGACATCCAAACAGGCCTGGGAATCCCCTGAGCTTGTGAGCACTTCATGCCAAACTGCCAGGACCAATTTCAGGCCTGTTAATGTCAAGAGGCAGAAGAAAAGGAGAAATCCCCTTTGGCAAGTATTGTCCAGGGAACCCTGACAGGGAGGGAGGGAGTGGAGAGAGGATCTGGGGGACTCAGCTAACTTGCCCCCCAAAAACATCCAGATCTACAATCAGAGCTGAGGGACAGCCCTGACTTTTTTGTGTCATTCACTCCTGTTTTAACAAACTAAGTTAAGGAGTGCTGCTGCTTTCATGAAGCTGCTTTGTCCCATCCAACAGGCTGCTGCTAGCTGGCATTTGGAAGAAGGCTGAAAACTTCTGTCAGCAGAAATTGTTTCCTGTTGATTTTCCAGTGCTCCCTGTATTTTTAACTTTGTGGGTTTTGTAGCCTGATGACTTCCCTTGGCTGGGATTTCAACTCTGAGATCATCATCAGCCTGAGTTTACCTTGCAGACAAAGAGGTCTTTGAAAGCAGCCCATGCAGGTAGAGTGACAGGTAGCTGTGCATAAAATAGGAGAACCCAGCTCCCTGTAGCCTTGCAGAATCACTTGCATTAGGAATTGTCAAACAGAAGAAGGCATTGCATTAGCCTGATGGTGTTTCATACTTGCTTTGCAATGGTGCCAGTGGCTGCAAAAACATTCAGGACAAGAATGAACCATGTGTGACAAACGTGACACAATCTGTCTTGAAGAATAACGTAATACAGATTGTGGGAGTAGAAATATTTCATATCTCTGTGATGCCCAGATCTGAGACAATGCCCATAGCTATTTTGAGGATAGTTCTGGTACAAATGCCTACTTTGGGTATTCAGATTCAGAAATCTCTCCAGATCATTTGGACTAAACCTGAAGCTACTGTTTTTCCATCAGTGTTCTCCAGATGGTGGAGACCTCTTTGGTGAACTATTTGAGAGTTTCTGTTTCTGTTTGCAGATATTAAAACAAGAAAGATTTTGTCATTTTAAATCATGCAGCAGTAGGAATGTCTGGCTTGGTAGCTATAGCTATTAATGGTTCAAGGGAAGCATGTGTTCAAGGTGGATTTTAAACATTTTTCATAGAATAAAAGAAAGTTGTGCTGGAAGGACTTCAAGACATCACCTAGTCTGCCTCTCTTTCCTAAGGCAGGATCAGCTCTGCCTCTGCCATTGTGTGCAGATACTACTTAATCTTCTTCTGTCTTCCACAGATGAGGAACCTCCTCAGGCAACCTGTGCATTAACAACCATGGAAAGTTTTCGCAGTGCTCAACCTGAATCTTTCCCCTTTTTAAGACAGTAAAAATTTTGTCCAGTACTTCTTCCTTCAGAATCTGGAGACTTACTGCTTGAAAACTTGTCCTGCCTTCTTCCTTTTTTCCCTTAGTGTCATGGTTTAATCCCAGCCAGTAGCCAAGTTCCACACAACTGCTTTCTCACTCTCCCACCAGTGGAATGGGAGAGAGAGGGTAAAAGCTAGAAAACTCATGGGTTGAGATAAAAACAGTTGCATAGGGAAAGCAAAAGCAACACACACAAGCAAAACAAAACAAGGAATGAATTCACTGCTTCCCACAGGCAGGAGGTGTTCAGCATCTCCAGGACATCAGGGACCATCATGTGCAATGGTTACTTGAGAAGACAGATGTCATCACTCCAAATGTCCTCCCCTTCCTCCATCTTCTTCCCATTTATATATACTGAGCATAATGTCATATGGTATGGAATATCCCTTTGGTCAGTTTGGGTCACCAGCCCTGTCTGTGTCTCCTCCCAACATCCCATGCACCCCCAACTTCCTTGCCAGTGTGGCAGTATGGGAAGCAGCAAAGGCCTTGACTCTGTGTAAGCTCTGCTCAGCAATAACAAAAATATCTACATATTATAAACCCTGTGTTCATACAAATCCTAAACACAGCCCCATACTAGCCACTGTGAAGAAACTTAACTCTACCCTGGCTGAATCCAGCACAACATAGACAAAACCAGCCCCATTCTTGTAAGATATTCTTGTAGGTGATGTTTTTCAGTGCAGCGAGCAGTGTTGTTGCTGTCACTGGGATTCTCTCTGACAGGTCTGCAACTTCCTTGAGTTGTAATTGTTTAGACTCACCATGATCCTTCAGACAGACCTGACCATTGCTGAGTAAGATGTAAGGCCACTCACCTTACATATAATACTGTTGACCATATGTTTGAGTATGAATTTGTTGTATGTGCGGCAATGTGACTATTTTTTAACTCATATTCTGGCTGAGGTCTGCTGTAATCCTTGCATAGCATTGTCTAGGCTACTGACTGGTCCTTGTCATGGCTTAGACACTTGGCTTGAGGAATTACAACTGTATAATTAAATCACATACATTCTTCAGTTGGTTTTATGCTCTTTTTTTGATGATCTTCTGATATTTACAAGGAAAGGAAGACTTTGGCAGACATCAGACTGCATTCCTGAAACAGCATATTTCACTACAATCATTTCAAGGGGGAAGTAAGAAATCCTGAAATCCTGCAGTTAGAAGGAAGGACAGATTGTATGGATGTGAACAGGGTGAGGGCTGGGGATATGTGTCCTTGGTGTGCACATGCATGCAGAATTGGAGCTTACATATCCTGATTCCCGATGTCTCTTTCCTGAGACATTTCCTCACCTACCCCCAGTACTAGTATTGTTCTCTGGAAGA